GGGGCGCTATTTCCTATACTTCTGTTTTTATTTTCTTTTGAAATCTGTGATATATTTTCACCTTTAGGAAGGAGTTTCCCTCTCAATGTACTTCAGCACAGCTCAGTTTTCAACAAGTAGCTTTTGGTGTACTTCTAAATCTGCTCCTTAGTTGCATCTTTTCGGTCCTGTTACTGCCTCTAGTGGCGTGGGGGTGGTAACACAACCAATCTAATTACATTACTAAATCAGAATACCAAAGTCTTTATTATGTATTATTAATTCTGGCATTACTGGAACAGTAAAAGATAAAGTCCCTCACAAAAGAACATACCTTTTCATTTTCTTAAGGAAGTAGAGCTAATTATATGACGTAAATAAGACCTGGAAGTGGTTCCAGTTTCACTCGATGGCCAACCTGCTGAAACTGTGGCAAATTTTAAATACCTCGAGTCATTCCTGGACAGTCAGCTCAACTTTGCTGAAAACACTGACTATGTCTTTAAGGTAACGGTTCAATAATATACATGGCACTGTAAAAACAAAGATGTGAATTGTTGCTTATATCTTTAACAATCCTGGTTGTAACAACCTGGGTTGTTATTCTTCTGTACCTAATTCATTTGTTTATTGACTTTTGCTCAATTAAATTTCTTACATATACATTGTGAATGGTATTTTTATTATAGTTGATCATGTTGTTTTTCATGTCTGCTTATTTCTTTTGTTCCTCCCATAATTGATGGAGATATATAGATATTATTTATAATGTATAAAGGTATTGTTTGTCATTTAATTAGCTCTACATCCTTAAGAAAATGAAAAATATGGTGTTTTATAAGATAATTTATCTTTTACTGTTCCAGTAATGCCGAAATTAATAGTAAATAATAAAGACTTTGGTATTCTGATTTAGTAATGTAACTAGTTAGTTGTATTACCACCCCCACGCCACTAGAGGCAGTAACAGGACCGAAAAGATGCGACTAAGGAGCAGATTCAGAAGTACACCAAAAGCAACAGAATTTGTTAAAAACTGTGAGCTGCGGTGAAGTAAATAAAATAGAGAAGTTCAAATACATTGAGAGTGAAACTCCTTCCTAAAGGTGAAAATATATCACAGATTTCAAAATAAAATACAAACGGAAGTATAGGACATAGCGCCCCCTTCACTTCCGGATTTGCATTAGAAAAGGTAGATGGAAACTCTTTTGAAAAAATGTCCGTAAGTTTTATGGCGGATTTTCCCATTTTTGAAAACGTGTTAACGTTTTCCAAATATGTTCTGACGCAGCAAACTCTCCCATCCACTGGTGAGTCTGTGCCTTACCAGAGCCACAAAGCTTGGAAAATTGTTACAGTGCAAACCTTCAGCTTGGAGGACTCCCTCCATTTGTGTGGTTCATGCTAGCTCGCCACCCATACCTTCTGTTTTACAGCGCCATCATCTGGCAAAATTAAGCTCTGCGTAGGTTTACATAAAAACAAAAGTGGCTAATTCACATTTGTTTTTTGCAACATTTTCCAAGTTTGCCGTATGAATGGATGGATGGATGGATGGAAATTCAATTTGACAGTTGGATGGAAATATAACCAGTGACACTTCGTGGTTATCGACGTGATTGAATGTAGCACTTTAGCCACAGCCTTCAATAAGTACTATGTTGGCATAGCGCTTTAGCATTAGTGCCATAGAGCACATCGTATCTTTGATGTGCTCTATCCATGCAGAGTCACGCTCTCTGTAAATCCTGAACTGTGAAATGGCGACGGTTCACTGAAGAACCAGGCAGATCCAAAGCAGAACTGTCTGTGGCTCAAATCCCAACATTTCAGGTCGTCTCCTCTGCTACTCCTGTAGGATTCCTCAGACTGGGCTCTACATACTGATTGCTCAGCGCTGTACCAGCTAACCCCAGTTAGTGTCCTGCAGCTGAAGGTGAAGCCCGGCTGTGTTGGAGGGCAGCGTGAGGGTGGAGCAGAGACATGCATCTCAGGCTGAGTTAATCTCTCCTACACTGTTACAAGTGAAGTGTGGAAGTGTCTGCATGTGAAGCAGCGCAGCATCATCGCACCCACCTGTCGTCTGGGCGGCGTTGCCATGGAAACACGCTGCCACGATGAGGCACAGCAGCAGACTCCGGCCCCCCTCCATGATGGATCTGCCCTCAGGTTTTTCTCTTCCTGAAACAAACAGACAAGTTGGAGATGAAGAGGAGCAATCTGCACAACAGCTGGAAGTGGGAGGTCCAGCTGGGCGGTGGGAAACCAGAGCCAGAACCAGAAGTGAAGTCAGGTGAAAAAAATATATACCTTAATATATTTCAAACATACTTACATTTGTGAAAGTACATTTTAAGTATACTAAGTATTAAGTGTACTACCTATAAATATATATGAAGTATACTAAAAGTATACTTGTACCAAATTCTAAATTATAACTTTAAACATACTTAAATCTAATTGTACCAAAATACACTTTTAAGAAATATATTAAATAAATGTATACTTTAAGGCAGTGTTTTTTCAACCTTTTCTGAACCAAGGTAATTGTTTTAATTGAAAAAATCCCGAGGCACACCACCAACCAAAAATGTAAACAAAGATACTCTGTAGCCGCCTATATTACATATATAGTCATTCTCAAAGTGTCTTGAATAGGAATCAAATAAACACAAAAAATTATTTTATCATATTTTACATTTCTTATATCAAATTGCACTTAACATGTCCCCTTCAAAAATACACCTGAACAGCCACAACACTGTGGTGTGATCACGAATTCTCTCAATTCACAATTCCAAGTTAGACAACAACACAACTGGACAACAACCGGTGGAAATGAAATGAGGGTCACAAAAGGAGCCCAGAGGGACGAAGGATGCTAACATTATATTGTTTTTGCTTTTTTGTCAGTATTGCAGGCTAATGTTGGTGACCAAGCTTTGCAATAAACATCCAGTCAGAGAATGGTAGGTTTATTTGTTGGCATTGAATTACATTACTAACGCATACACCAATGGGCGGCAATTACACTTAAAAAAAAAATTTACTCTAACATAATGTCACTCAAATAATTTATATATATATTGTTGAAATATAAAATGTAACATGTTCTTTTTTGGTTCATTCCCAGATAGTCTAACATAGTCAGTATTGATGAAAATGTTTTTGTTCTGTTCTGCAGATGCTGCTCTACAGCTTCGGAGGTGGCCTAGCTATCCGTCGCAAATGTAACAACGAACACTTCATTGAAAAAAAAAATAGAAATGAGAGGTTCACATTAAAATGTTCTTTTATTTTAATTCTCTGTTTTTGAATTTTAAAAGTTTTGTTCTTTAAAATAATACATTTTAGTCACATTTAAATTTTTATGTTCATTGTGTTCACTTCTGACTTGTAAACTGATTATTTATGTAAAGTTTATAAAGTTGAGTAATATTGGACAATTTTAAAACATTGGTAATAAAACAAAATATTTGAATTACCTTGAACATCTTGTGTAATTAATCTTTCCATGCAATTGTAGTGTAGTTCTGTATGTAATGTACAAAATAGTAAAGTAGGAATAAAGAAGACTTTTATGAGTAATTAAAATTGTACTTTATTAGCAATAGCAGTAAATCAAAAATAAAAATTAAGTGTAATTTAAATACATTAATAATATATTAGCAGTATATTTAAAATATATTAAAAGTATATTTTTAATATAATTCTATGACAGAATTAGTACACTGAAAATATACTAATCAAGCTCTTGAATACTACATAAAAAAGTATACTTAAAGTATACTAAGTACTACTTGAAGTTGTTCCAAAAAAGTATGTTGAAGTATGCTAAGTATACTAAAAGTTGTAAATTAATGCTATTTAAATACTATTAAAATATACTAAGCACAAAAAAGTTGTTCCAAAATAGTAGTTTAAGTACATTAATCAAAGTATGCTAAAGTATGTTAAAATTTAATATACTAAAGTATACCTTTTTTTTTTTTACAAGGGCAGCCCTCAAGCAACAAGAGCTCAGAAATAAAAGATGAAGAATATGAAGCAGAAATCCCGACAACATTCCAGGCAAAGTGGACAAAGACTGAACAGGGTCACAAGTATTCAGCCCACACCCTCAGTCCCATCATCCTGCTGCCTCCTCCGCATGTTCGCTTTTGTTTGGACCCAAATGAAGGCAGGATGTAAAATGAGGAGATTTAATGAAGAAAACAGTCCAAAAACCTCCAAGCTGTCACAATGGGACCAGGAAATGAAGTGGCAACCAAAAAGGTAAGCAACAGTGGTGGGTGCTAATCCGCTAATGTGCTAATAGTGTTGCTAATTATTGTTTAGTGCCGTAATGTTTTTGATAACTTTGAAAACATTTAGTGCTATTAACTTCCCCTAAGCTAATTTTTCCCCAAAAATTCTAATGCACAGATTTACTTTTGTAAACTTTAATCCTCTGGAGGGCGATGTAACACGTGTGTCACTCACACAAGGCGGGTAACAGGGTTGAAGTTAGCATACTAGCATTAGCTTCTACTAGGTATCATTATTAGTCCTTTATACAGGAAAATCTTTTCGTACTGTCAAAACAGACCCGTTAACAAGGGATACCTGTTACTATGTTGCTTTAGCGCTTTAGCATTAGCTACCACTAAATAACATGTTGGTACAATGTCTTAGTTTTCACATGGCCTTTGTTTATGCTCAGTGTTTTAAGTAAGCGCAGCTAGCTTTGCCGTTAGCGGTGAGCGGAGCAGAGGAACAGGAAGGAAACTAATCAACACAGAAGAAACATGGAGACAAAAACACATTCCAGGACTGCAACAGATGATGGTTTAAAAAACAGAAACTTTAACCCAGTTGTTGCCTCAGTTGTTTCAATAAATCTTTCTTAATTAGAACAAAATAGGAAAATTCTGCATTAAAAAAGGCATTTTAAAATTATACTGATTATATTGTTTATAATTATGAAGAAAATTTCCACATTGATCCATTTTCATGATTTATCTTTGGTTTGTGGTTGAATAACTATAAATATGATGTGAATGACACCAGGATCTTGATTTATTTCATGGCACTGCCATAATTTTTCATGAAATGAGTCGATGATCTCATTGGACGCAGATGTTAAAAGGAAGATGAGTTAATTAAAGTCAGACTGAAACATTTTAGAACCGCGTCTCCTGGTTGCTTCATTCCGTTTCCCAGCAGCGTTTCCTCCTCTCAGGTCAGGGGTCAGAGTGACGCCTCGCAGGAACCGCAGCTCGCAGAAACAACCGTAAATCTGTTGCAGTCACAGGAATCAGCTCACAACCACAGGAAGTGATGTGGGTCACACATCGCCGGAGGAGCCGCTCCGTCAGGCAGTTTAGTTTTGATTTGGGCGAATATTCCTGAGCGATGCCTGCGGAGAAGCTGCATCTGATCATTACTGTGGGCTCTGCTGCCCATACATCGGACCAAAGGCGACACATTTACAGATTACATTTAGATTCTTGAATCTGCTCCAAACAGTCGCTGCAGGTTTTCCAGAGCCTCGAAAATCTTAAAATTAAACCTTTCAGCTGAAGCAGGAAGATGGAGGACAGACGGATGGGAAGGAGAGAGACAGCAGCACCATCGTCACGAATCCAGCTTCGGTTCAGTGATTGGTTCATTTCTTTACTGGGGTCAACCACCCCCAGTAACGGGGTCAACCACCCTTAGTAACGGGGTCAACCACCCCCAGTAACGGGGTCAACCACCCTTAGTAACGGGGTCAACCACCCCCAGTAACGGGGTCAACCACCCTTAGTAACGGGGTCAACCACCCCCAGTAACGGGGTCAACCACCCTTAGTAACGGGGTCAACCACCCCCAGTAACGGGGTCAACCACCCTTAGTAACGGGGTCAACCACCCCC